CCATCACCACCACCATCACCACCACCACCATCACCACCACCATCACCACCATCACCACCACCACCACCATCACCACCACCATCACCATCACCACCATCACCACCACCATCACCACCACCACCATCACCACCACCATCACCACCATCACCACCACCACCACCATTACCACCACCATCACCACCACCATCACCACCACCATCACCATCACCACTACCACCACCATCACCACCACCATCACCACCATCACCACCACCACCACCACCATCACCACCACCACCATCACCACCACCACCACCATCACCACCACCACCATCACCACCACCATCACCACCACCACCACCATCACCACCACCACCATTACCACCACCATCACCATCACCACCACCACCACCACCATCACCACCACCACCACCACCACCATCACCACCACCACCACCATCACCACCACCATCACCACCACCATCACCACCACCACCACCACCATCACCACCACCATCATCACCACCACCACCACCATCACCACCATCACCACCACCACCATCACCACCATCACCACCACCATCACCACCACCATCACCACCACCACCACCATCATCACCACCATCACCACCACCACCACCATCACCACCACCATCACCACCACCACCACCACCATCATCACCACCATCACCACCACCACCACCACCATCACCACCACCACCATCACCACCACCATCACCACCACCATCACCACCACCACCATCACCACCACCATCACCACCATCACCACCACCACCACCATCACCACCACCATCACCATCACCACCATCACCACCACCATCACCACCACCACCACCACCACCACCATCACCACCATCACCACCACCACCACCATTACCACCACCATCACACCACCACCATCACCACCACCATCACCATCACCACTACCACCACCATCACCACCACCATCACCACCATCACACCACCACCACCACCATCACCACCACCACCATCACCACCACCACCACCATCACCACCACCACCATCACCACCACCATCACCACCACCACCACCATCACCACCACCACCATTACCACCACCATCACCATCACCACCACCACCACCACCATCACCACCACCACCACCACCACCATCACCACCACCACCACCACCATCACCACCACCATCACCACCACCATCACCACCACCACCACCACCATCACCACCACCATCACCACCACCACCACCACCATCATCACCACCACCACCATCACCACCATCACCACCACCACCATCATCACCACCACCATCACCACCACCACCACCATCATCACCACCATCACCACCACCACCACCATCACCACCACCACCACCACCACCATCACCACCATCACCACCACCATCATCACCACCATCACCACCACCACCACCATCACCACCATCACCACCACCATCACCACCATCACCACCATCATCACCACCACCACCATCACCACCACCATCACCACCACCATCACCACCACCACCATCACCACCACCATCACCACCACCACCACCACCATCACCACCACCATCACCACCACCACCACCATCACCACCACCATCACCACCACCACCATCACCACCACCACCATCACCACCACCACCACCATCACCACCATCACCACCACCATCACCACCACCACCACCACCACCATCACCACCACCATCATCACCACCACCATCACCACCACCGTCACCACCACCACCATCACCACCATCACCACCATCACCACCATCACCACCACCACCATCACCACCATCCACCACCATCACCACCACCACCATCACCACCACCATCACCACCACCACCACCATCACCACCACCATCACCACCATCACCACCATCACCACCACCATCACCACCACCACCACCATCACCACCACCACCACCATCACCACCACCATCACCACCACCATCACCACCACCATCACCACCACCACCACCACCATCACCACCACCACCACCACCATCACCACCACCACCACCACCACCATCACCACCACCATCACCACCACCACCACCATCACCACCACCATCACCACCACCACCATCACCACCACCACCACCACCATCACCACCATCACCACCACCATCACCACCACCACCACCACCACCATCACCACCACCATCATCACCACCACCATCACCACCACCGTCACCACACCACCAACCACCATCACCACCATCACACCACCACATCACCACCACCACCATCACCACCACCACCATCACCACCACCATCACCCACCATCACCACCACCATCACCACCACCATCACCACCACCATCACCACCACCACCACCACCATCACCACCACCACCACCACCATCACCACCACCACCACCATCACCACCACCATCACCACCACCACCACCATCACCACCACCATCACCACCACCACCATCACCACCACCACCATCACCACCACCACCACCATCACCACCATCACCACCACCACCATCACCACCACCACCACCACCATCACCACCACCATCACCACCACCATCACCACCACCACCATCACCACCACCATCACCACCACCACCACCATCACCACCACCATCACCACCATCACCACCATCACCACCACCACCACCATCACCACCACCATCACCACCACCATCACCACCACCATCACCACCACCACCATCACCACCACCACCATCACCACCACCACCACCACCATCACCACCACCATCACCACCACCACCACCATCACCACCACCATCACCACCACCACCATCACCACCACCACCATCACCACCACCACCACCATCACCACCACCATCACCACCACCACCACCACCATCACCACCACCATCATCACCACCACCATCACCACCACCGTCACCACCACCACCATCACCACCATCACCACCATCACCACCATCACCACCACCACCATCACCACCATCACCACCACCATCACCACCACCACCATCACCACCACCATCACCACCACCACCACCATCACCACCACCATCACCACCATCACCACCATCACCACCACCATCACCACCACCACCACCATCACCACCACCACCACCATCACCACCACCATCACCACCACCATCACCACCACCATCACCACCACCACCACCACCATCACCACCACCACCACCACCATCACCACCACCACCACCACCATCACCACCACCATCACCACCACCACCACCATCACCACCACCACCATCACCACCACCACCATCACCACCACCACCATCACCACCACCACCACCATCACCACCATCACCACCACCATCACCACCACCACCACCACCATCACCACCACCATCATCACCACCACCATCACCACCACCGTCACCACCACCACCACCATCACCACCATCACCACCATCACCACCATCACCACCACCATCACCACCACCACCATCACCACCACCATCACCACCACCACCACCATCACCACCACCATCACCACCATCACCACCATCACCACCACCATCACCACCACCACCACCATCACCACCACCACCATCACCACCACCATCACCACCACCATCACCACCACCATCACCACCACCACCACCACCATCACCACCACCACCACCACCATCACCACCACCACCACCACCATCACCACCACCATCACCACCACCACCACCATCACCACCACCACCATCACCACCACCACCATCACCACCACCACCATCACCACCACCACCACCATCACCACCATCACCACCACCATCACCACCACCACCACCACCACCATCACCACCACCATCATCACCACCACCATCACCACCACCGTCACCACCACCACCACCACCATCACCACCATCACCACCATCACCACCATCACCACCACCATCACCACCACCACCATCACCACCACCATCACCACCACCACCACCATCACCACCACCATCACCACCATCACCACCATCACCACCACCATCACCACCACCACCACCATCACCACCACCACCACCATCACCACCACCATCACCACCACCATCACCACCACCATCACCACCACCACCACCACCACCATCACCACCACCACCACCACCATCACCACCACCACCACCACCATCACCACCACCATCACCACCACCACCACCATCACCACCACCATCACCACCACCACCATCACCACCACCACCATCACCACCACCACCACCATCACCACCATCACCACCACCATCACCACCACCACCACCACCACCACCATCACCACCACCATCATCACCACCACCATCACCACCACCGTCACCACCACCACCACCATCACCACCATCACCACCATCACCACCATCACCACCACCATCACCACCACCACCATCACCACCACCATCACCACCACCACCACCATCACCACCACCATCACCACCATCACCACCACCATCACCACCACCACCACCATCACCACCACCACCACCATCACCACCACCATCACCACCACCATCACCACCACCATCACCACCACCACCACCACCATCACCACCACCACCACCACCATCACCACCACCACCACCACCATCACCACCACCATCACCACCACCACCACCATCACCACCACCATCACCACCACCACCATCACCACCACCACCATCACCACCACCACCACCATCACCACCATCACCACCACCATCACCACCACCACCACCACCACCATCACCACCACCATCATCACCACCACCATCACCACCACCGTCACCACCACCACCACCATCACCACCATCACCACCATCACCACCACCACCATCACCACCACCACCACCACCATCACCACCACCATCACCACCACCACCATCACCACCACCACCACCACCACCATCACCACCACCACCACCATCACCATCACCACCACCATCACCACCACCATCACCACCACCACCATCACCACCACCACCATCACCACCACCATCACCACCACCACCACCATCACCACCACCATCACCACCACCACCACCATCACCACCACCACCATCACCACCACCACCATCACCACCTCGAGTTGCAAGGCGTCAATTTTCTCGTCCATGCAGGGAGCTCCCTCGCACTCAAACTGCACAGCTTTGCCGTCCGCCTTGCTGGCCACCAGGCGGTGGACGTAGTTGTCTGTGGGGGCGCAGGAGTCAACAACAACAACAACAACAACGTCAACAACAACAACAACAACGTCAACAACAACAACATTAACATCAACAACAGCATTAACATCAACAACAACGTCAACAACATCAACAACAACGTCAACAACAACATCAACAGCATTAACATCAACAGCATTAACATCAACAACAGCATTAACATCAACAACAAAGTCAACAACAACAACAACATCAACAACAACATCAACAACAACGTCAACAACAACAACAACATCAACAACAACAACAACGTCAACAACGTCAACAGCATTAACATCAACAACAACAACAACAGCATTAACATCAACAACAGCATTAACATCAACAACGTCAACCACTTAAACAACAACATCAACAACAACGTCAACAACAACAACAGCATTAACATCAACAATAAAGTCAACAACGTCAACCACTTAAACAACAACATCAACATCAACGTCAACAACAGCATTAACATCAACAACAACGTCAACAACAACAACATCAACAGCATTAACATCAACAACAGCATTAACATCATCAACAAAGTCAACAACGTCAACCACTTAAACAACAACAACGTCAACCACAACGTCAACAACAGCATTAACATCAACAACAAAGTCAACAACGTCAACCACTTAAATAACAACAACAACAACGTCAACAACATCGTCAACAACAGCATTAACATCAACAACAACGTCAACAACAACAGCATTAACATCAACAACAGCATTAACATCAACAACAAAGTCAACAACGTCAACCACTTAAACAACAACAACATCAACATCAACAACAACATCAACAACAACGACGTCAACAACGTCAACCACTTAAATAACAACAACAACAACGTCAACAACAGCATTAACATCAACAACGTCAACAACTTAAACATCAACAACATCAACAAAACAACCTCAACATCAACAACAACATCAACAACGTCAACAACTTAAACATCAACAACATCAACAAAACAACCTCAACATCAACAACATCAACAACAACGTCAACAACAACATCAACAACAGCATTAACATCAACAACAACGTCAGCAACGTCAACCACTTAAACAACAACAAAACATCAACATCAACAACAACGACGTCAACTACAATGTCAACAACATCAACAACAACGACGTCAACAACGTCAACCACTTAAATAACAACGTCAACAACATCAACAACAACGTCAACAACAGCATTAACATCAACAAAGTCAACAACTTAAACATCAACAACATCAACAAAACAACCTCAACATCAACAACAACGTCAACAACAACATCAACATCAACAACAACATCAACAACAACATCAACAACAACATCAACAACAACGACGTCAACAACGTCAACCACTTAAATAACAACATCAACATCAACAACAACAACATCAACAACAGCATTAACATAAACAACAACGTCAACAACGTCAACCACTTAAACAACAACAAAACATCAACATCAACAACAACGACGTCAACTACAATGTCAACAACATCAACAACAACGACGTCAACAACGTCAACCACTTAAATAACAACGTCAACAACATCAACAACAACGTCAACAACAGCATTAACATCAACAACGTCAACAACTTAAACATCAACAAAACAACCTCAACATCAATAACAACGTCAACAACAACGTCAACAACAACATCAACAACAGCATTAACATCAACAACAACGTCAACAACGTCAACCACTTAAACAACAACATCAACAACAACGTCCACAACATCAACAACTTAAACATGTGTGCGTGAGTGTGTGTGTGTCTGTGTGTGTCTGTGTGTCTCTGTGTGTGTGTGTCAGATTTGCTGAGCATTTCTGTGAGGTCCTGGGGGAGGGGAAATCCCTCAGCCAGGAAAACATCGTGGCACAAAGTGAGGATGACCCTGCTGAGGCTGCAAAATATTGGAAGAAGTCACCCCCTGTGAGTGGCTGGCTGAGGTGCCATCTGTTGGGGAAGTACTGAAGGCGATCCGGAGTCTGAGACCAGGAAAGGCAGCGGGCAGAGATGATCTCCCAAGCGAAATGTTGAGGGAGGGTGGCGTTTGTGCACAGACTGCCCTATATGACATCATAACAACAGTCTGGACCACTGGACGGGTTCCGCAGGATTGGAAGGATGCCCTGGTGGTCCCCCTCTTTAAGAAGGGGGACCGGACAGACTGTAACAACTACAGGGGCATCTCACTCCTCAGTGTCCCGGGAAAGGTCCTGGTAAGGATTATTCAGCATCGCCTTGCCAGGCACGCTGAGGAGAGGCTTGCGGAGCCCCAATGCGGTTTCAGGAAAGGGCGGTCCTGCACAGATGCCATATTTTCTGTCCGTCTGCTACAGCAGAGGTGTAGG